TGTTTTTTGTTTCTGAGGTTATATTAGTTCCATCGTACGGAAACGGCTTTCCAAAAATTTTCGAAACATTTCGAGCGACGGTAGGCTTTCTGGATCATGACAACTGTTACTCACGTGCTCCTCCCAGTCCTTGTGTGTATATGGATCTAATTTTTGCACAATAACAAATATAACAAGTGTGTCCCAATTGTCAGTTGTCACATTTACATTTTTCAAATGATGTAAACATTCAAAAGTTGTGTCTAGTAAATGTTTAATTTGACTCGACGAATTAACTGTCATCCTTTTCTGAGAAAATAACCTCTTCATAATCGCATTCACAGTCATACGTTTGTTACCGTATCGACCTTTCAATAAATTCCATGCCTGCTCGTAATTAGACTCCGTTACCTGTATGTGCTTCAAAACCAAAGCAGCTTCTCCTGTAAGGCTTGTCTTCAAATAGTGGAGCCGTTGAACATTGCTCAATGACCCGTTATTATGGACGAGCGTATTAAACAAATCGTAAAATGATGACCAATCTTCATATTGCCCACTAAAAGTTGGAATTTGTATATTGGGTAACACGACGCGTGGTTGTTGACATTCACTCATAATTGGTATGGATGTATTAATTGGTTGAGAAGTTATAATATCTTGTAGCTCCGCCTTTAACGTAATATATAACTCTTCGTGTTCGTAAAACTCCTCCTTTGCAAAGTACGGCACCAAATCTCTTCTCTCTTTTGGGGTGTGACTAATTATATCACCATAAGCTTTTCTATAATCCATCCAATATTCTTCGACACACTTAAGACGCGCTTCGGCATAAATAGGAGTTAATCTTGCTTTAGGACATTTTTTTAGGTTTACTTGAGTCTTCTTTAATATTTGTGCAATGTCTTCTACAGTACTTAACGCTTTTAAAACTTCCGTAGTCATTGTACACCACGATTAAATTTATCGAAAGTAAAGTGATGAAACACAAATCTTGCAAAACAGTGTTGTTTTTCAATAACTCGGCCGTCTTATCTCTAAAGGAATGCAGTCTTTTGTTCTCGCGGCAGCGTCGTCGACCGTTCTCCGATCGCTTCTATTCGGCTCGAAAATGGACCATATGATTGTGTTCTTAAGGTACACTGTTTGATTTACTTGATTTTGACAGAAAGAGGCGTGTGTTCTTTAGTAACGATTTATTCAGACTGCATTTGTAAAATAAACAATTAGCCTTTAAATTCGCTAAGCATGGATTAGGAGTGGTATACGTATTATTATGTATGTGTTTGTGAGCATTTGTTACGTGTACGTATATTATGCATTGATGTATGTTTATAATATTTATGTCTCTTTGTATGTACATATGTATGTTCGAGTAAATAAACCTAACACTTATTGTTATGCAGACGACAGCACTGGCGATGCTGTATACACCACAGCAATGCTAATATTTCTCGGGAATCTGTCATCGAGTGCGGAACAAACTCGTGTCTGAAGTGGAGTCTTTGTTGAACAAAATCTTGCCTTTGGGGCGACTATATCTATTCCAGTTTAACGCCAATAGACACAGGTTTGCACGTTTACCGCAAAAAATAACCCCTTTGTCGTATCTCCTCAGTTTAGGGCACTCTTCTCGTTACCTCAGCCAGCATCGGAATCCTTGGCGTTGACATTTCGTGAGACGTACAGTTCCGCATTCACTTGGAAGGGAAGGCTAAAGTGACATAGACACAGCTTGGTGTGTTTACGAGGGCGGCACTGAAAATTTCGGGAATCAAGGAAGTGACACAACATTACTATTTAAACATGTATTTATTGCTTTTCGAAGTACTCTCCGCGAAATTTAACACATTTTTCCATACGATGGAACCAATCGTTGAAGGAACCATTCCATTCGGAAGTTGGGGTCTCCAAAATGGCCGTTTTGTAGGCCTCCACAGCTTGTTCAGGTGATGAAAATCTCTGTCCACGCAATTTATTCTTTATTTTAGGGAAAGTATAGAAATCATTAGGGCTTAGGTCGGGGCTGTACGGCGGATGGTTTAATAATTCTATGTTTTCTTGCTCTAAAAACTCTTTTGTTCTGTGTGCGGTGTGCTCGCATTGTCGTGATGGAGGATGATGCGGCGGTTGCAGTTCTCTTTACAGAGTTCAGAAACTACCTGTGGCAAACAAATGCTAGCATACCATTCTGCATTAACCGTTCTTTGTCCCTCAAGAGGAATAGTCGTAACATGGCCGGTTTTGGAGACAAACGTGGCCATCATTTTTTTTGCATCACTCCGTGAACGAACAATTTTTGTTGGCTTTAACTCATTTTCAAAAATCATACTAATTCTTAATAACTTTACTATATTGAATAAAACTTAGGTGAAATACCTCAGTCCCCCGTGACCACGGTTGCTGGAAAGCAACCGAAACGTCGGGAATATAAAATCACTTAATTAAACGCGATAAAATCCGTAAAAGTAGTTTTTATTCAATGTGTAGTGTTCGCGTAAATATAAGAAATCATTAACTTTACTATAATCTAGTAATTCTAGTATCTAATCATAGTTCATAATCTCATTGTTAATTCTCATAATCACATATTTGTTTTATTTATTGTGTTGCGTACTCAGTAGTTAATTTTTCATTAAACTAACACATGGCGATAGGCTACTTCAATTATTTGAAAATAAAAATGATTACATAACAATTTCGTCAATCTTGTCTCGTCTCGAGTCTCGACACGAAAGTCCCGGGACTCGAGACAACTAAAATTACGAAAAATCCCGGAACCCCTCGTGTCTCGAAGTCCAAACCCAAACCCTAGTTATAGCACGTATGGGTCGACTCAACCGGGGTAGGACCAGGCTCTTTTTTGTCTCTTTATTTGGATCACCAACTGATGATACACAATACTAATAAATATATAACTTAACACAGTGTTAAGTTATATTTTCTCTATATCATGCTACGTGTTCATCTTCCTACAGGTAACCACAAGTAACATAAATAACGAAGTGATGTTTAAAAAAAAGGTAAAGAAAACAGATAATAATATGAAGTTAAGAAAAGAAGAAATTAACTATATTATTTATAAACATTGGAAACAATATAGACCAAGGTATGAACTTTAAGTTTTAGCTCCATTAACAACCACAAATGAGTGGCGGTCTTTTAAATAGGACGCAAACTACTGTATATTAGAGTACTAAACATCGATACCAAAGTGAGACAATTTATGAAAAAGTATTTCATGGTCTGCCTTTTGGAATGCCTTGCTAAATTCAATATATATTGTATCGACTTGAATGCGTTGATCAACAAATTCCATCAAGGTTTCATTTTTTCACCTTGACGGGGATCATCACTGAGCTTGACACGTCCACGTTGAAATTCAGCAAACCAGTGATAAATTGTGGTTTTGGATGGGGCTTCATCACCAAATGCAGAAATCATCCGGTCAACACTGTTTTTGTGTTAAACCACTTCGAAAGTCATAATAAATCATCGGTCTTGAATTTTCTCGAGTCAATTCCATTTTCTCAACGACTAAACAAGTTTGACAAAGCCTTGTGACAAAACTGACAATCTTTTTTTAAATACATAAATGGTATTCGATTTTTAAAACCAAGGACTTTTCAATTAAAAAAAATTAATATGGCAGGAACAGTGGAAATATTCCATTCCCGATACTTTTAGTGCAGTCCTCGTAGTAGATCAAGACGGTATTTCATGCCGGACCACCACTTGCAGCTTTACTAAAAGCAGGGTCGGTATCATATGGAATACTGTTCTCGTCTTTGGGCCGGGACTTCCCAGTATCAGCTCCTTCCACTAGATCATATTCAACGGAGAGTGGCTCGAATCGTGGACGATCAAGTTATTGTCTGATCCACTGACCTTGCGAAGAGACGTTGCATCTCTATGCATCTTCTACCGCATATACCACGGGGATTGCCCAGAGGAATTATTCGGATTAATTCCAGCTGCTGAATTCCATCATCGTGCACTGCGACAGAACTTGAAATTCCATCCTCATCATCTCGATGGCTGGCGGTCCGCAACTGTGCGATTTACGCGGAATTTTCTGCTTCGCACGACCAAACTGTGCAATTTACTGTCGCTAGCGGTTTTTCCGAACCGATACGACAAACTTACATCCATAAAGGAAAAGAACATACGTTATATTTATCTAAAACAACATGCAAGGAGGTTATCAAGTTAATAACATCAAGCAAGCAATGCATCCAATGCATTAAATACACATTCTGTGAAAATTTCAACTGTCTACCTATTACGAATCATGAGATACAGCTCGCTGACAGACAGACGGACGGACAGCGGAGGCTTAGTAATAGGGTCCAGTTGGTTACCCTTTGGATACGGTATTCTAAAAATATCTACAATTAATTGTGTGGTATCGTCACTCTTAAGTTGCCAGGACAATCTCATTTCTGACATTTTGTATTTGTCAGAGTCTAACAGGGCCTGTAGTAATCTACTGTACTATGAAACACAACAAAATTGTAACCTAGAGATGGTAAATAAAAGCATTGATTATTGAATTGTTTTTTTTACCACTTTGTATTTAGGAATAGCAGCATAGCAGAACAAGTTCCCCTCGATAGAATTTGCTACGGGCCCCGCGCTTGCTTAATCCGGCACTGTAGATGATTGTAATTACTGTTTTTTTTTCTTGTTAATTCTTCCTAGAACAAGGATTTTTTCGAATCAGTTATATACTAAACAAGAATGACTTTCAATTAATATTATTTATAATCTATATTGAATAAAAAAAATCTTGGCATTTCGCTTATCAGGGAAATCAGCTTGTAGTGTATGCTCATGTGTATGTACGATAGATCCATTAAGTAGTATTAAACGTACATTCAAGATCACTAGACTTGTTATTTATTTCTCGAACTTCCAAACTTTATAGGCTCTTCGAAACCCATTTGTAGAAATAGACCGTGCTTTGTGTTTCAATGTATCAATTACTAACTGATAAAACTTGTGTTGTGTGTTTTTAATTCCAGGTGTTTCGAGAATTCTTCATTCACGCGGACGGTCCCAAAAAGCTGAGGCGAGGCGATAACTCTATTATTAGATATCGTATTTTCAACTACTTGTATGAGCCTTTAAGTGTAAGTGAACACATTTATTTTACGAGTATTTATTGCATAAAGTAAAGATATAATGAATAATCACTAGGCGATAAAAGTTTTCATTTATGTAATTATTTTTTTGTTTTTTGAAAAATAATTAAATCACTCGTTTTTGGTTTCTTGAAAATATAAAAGGAAAAAAGAAAAATTATTAAATCACTCACTTTTTGTTTCTGCAAAATATAAAAGGAAAAAAGAAAAATAATGAAATCATTCACTTTTTGTTTCTTGAATATATAAAAGGAAAAAAGACAAAATAATTAAACCAATCACTTGTTCTTTCTTGAAAATATAAAAGAAGGAAGAAAAATAATTAAATCACTCCATTTGAAAGTATCTATCGGCAATAACTATTTTAATCAGTGGTAGAGCCACGCGGCAGGTTTTGCTGTCGCACGGATGGGCCGGCTCGAACCGGGGTAGTACCACGACCTCACAGAAAACCAGCGTGAAGTAGAAATTTACCTCTGCGTTACGCTTGGTGAGTGCAGGTGGCCGGAGGCTCTTTTTACTGGAATGAGGCATTCCATCTTGGTCCTCAAGAGTGACAACGCATCTACATTTTGATTTGTAATGGAGGATAGATGTAGAAGTCTATGGGCCGCAGCAACCACTTACCATCAGGTGGACTGTGTGCTCGTTTGTCACCCTTTTCCTATAAAAAAAATGGTTGAGAGTGAAAGCACCTTTGAATGAGTTTTTCTGGAAATAGCCATACAATGGGATTATACGAACATAGACGGTTGTATTAATGATTATAATGATTATAATTCTGTAAATACATACTCGTTACGTTCGCGAATCATATTTTGTTAAACATACAACCTGACACTGACCTACAAATTGCAAAAAACGTAAGAAAATTTGAATTTCGCGGGTTACCCTGGTGCTTTCACCTTAAGTTCAATAAATGCCTTATACTTGTACTTTAGTCAGTGAGATAATGCGTGCATTTCTGACTTAGAATATTATAAGTTTTAAAAAAAAGTTAAATTTGCACTAGTTAAATTAGCACTTAAATAGCCATTAATTTTGGCTTTTTCTAAATGCAAGTTCCTGACTTTGCGTTGCTGGCGAGACACAGCTGTGCATGCGTGTTGTGGACAAAATTGGAGCGAAATTAATTTATTGTAATATTTATTTATTGTAATTTAAATTAAATAATAAAAAAATTCCATCTGAGTCAAGGATAAAACAATTACATTGTGCTCCGTCCCAATTTATTTATATTAATTATTTTCATTTATTTATGGATACATAAAACATATTACAAAAATAGTTACTATAAAGCACCATTAAACTGTAAATCAGTTTATATTGGTACTGGCATAAGATGGTTTAGAATAGAGGCTAATATCTCCATCAGTGGCGAAGCTAGGGCTCCAGACTAGGGCAAGCCCAAGATATGGTTTTGTTGTTTTTAGCAGTTTTATAAAAATACACCAATTTTGATCTATCTCCACTCTTCAGTTTCATATTCAGTGCTGTTGAGGACGTGTTTAACAAAGCACACAGAAGGCATACTAGTACTATGCCTTCTGTGTGCTACAATCTATCTAGCAGTAGTATCATACTACTGCTAGATAGATTGTATGACTATATGTATACTTTCGGTGGCTTTGAAAAAAGCCGTTTGGGTTTGCTTGAGCGAAAGAAAAAGACATTTACATACAATACAATACATGAACAAAAGAAAAGCATGAACAAAGTACAAATAAACTATGTACAAAATTAAAAAAAAAATATTTATATTTTAAATGGATCGTCTCTCTTTTCTTAAAGAAAGATTTGATTACGTCCGCGTAAAATGTCGGTGAACGTTTTAATTGTACCAATAATTGTTTATGTGGATATGAGCGTTTTTTCTCAACAAAGTTTAAAGATTTTACCATTTCCTCGCCGATTAGCATTTTAACACACTTCAATTCATTACAAGGAACACTATTATCCTCCATTTTCACTAAAAATCTTTAAAAAAAAGCATAAATTTTCAATTCGCAATATTAACTTACTCAAGTAAACACACAGAGTAAACATTGAAATGTGAAGTGAAGTTGCAAACGTATCGTCCGGGTGTCCCCGCGCTCTACTAACTCCACACCAAAAGCTGGGCTTTTGGCTCCACACTAATTGCTATATAAATAATTATAGTTATATTGTATTATAGAACATTTTCCCATAGGTTTAGAAAGGGAGCTATAGTCTTTTCGAAAGCCCGGTAAAAAGTCCACGCGTGCGAGAGATACGAGTAATCGCTCTACTCAAATTCTTTTTTATGACAGAAGTGTCGCGCAGTAAAGCAATCTGCCAAGTAATGATTTCTTATATTTATTTAAAAATCTGCCAAGTGTTGAAGTTACATAATAAGGCTACGAGATCATCACCTGTGTAGAACAGAGGAGCGCGCGGGAAATTTGAAATAGTTTGAAACAGTTTACGAGTTATTTTATTAGTTGATATTATAGATTGAGCAGTTTGATAGGGCAAGCCCGGCTTCTCGCCTTCTATGGAGGCTTCGCTACCGGTCTCCATAAAAGTTGTTTGATTTTATTTTTGTATGACAATATTTTATCGGTTTGAATGAAAATAAATAGGTCGCGGCGTTGTTGCAGGTGGAAATGGAAGTGATGTCCTCGGCGCAGGTGGAGGTGGAGGGGCGGCGCGTGGAGCGCGCGTGCGTGGGCGCTCGCAGCGCGGCGGCGCGGCGCGCCATGCTGCGGGTGCGCGCGCCCGGCGCGGCCCGTCTGCACCTGCGGGCGCGCGCGCTCCGCGACCCCAGCTGCGGAAACGCAACCCTCACCAAACAAGTCACGTACGTTTTATTCTTTACAATTTAAATATATATGTTATTCAAAATTTCATTTCACAACTTTATTGGCATTTGAATATCTAGAACTATGCCAAATTACAGATCTGTAGCACCTAGTATCTCTGAGTTAAACCGCGGACGAATGGATGGACAGTGATGAATAAATTGTAAGGGTTCGTTTTTGTTTAACTACGAAACCCTAAAAAAATAAACTAGGTTATCTTTTATTATAACTAGTGACCCACCCGAATTTCTCCTGGATCTATTAATGTGACGTTATTTAGATTTAAAATACGATTATCTCATACATAGATTAAAGATCAATTTTATCAATTTTTCTAATTTAAAAATTATCTCCAAGATTTTCACCTAAAATATACACTAGATAGCTCATAGCATTACACAGATAAACAGAGAAAATTCTTTGAAATGATTCTTCATGTCTTAATAGCGTGCAAATAACTCTGTCAGCTTAATAAAAGGCATTTATTCTGACTATAGGTAATTAATATCCGGCTCGAAGGACCAACATGTTTCAGTTTTAATCATACTGTTACTAAATGACATGCTATGCTATGATAAAACACTAACTGTTACGGCCTACGGCTGCTCCCTTAAAGGGTCAAATCCTCTGGGGCCCATGAGCAGAAGACTTCCCGAGCAGACGTAGGTCGGGCCTCAATGTGGCCACGTGGAATTTCTCTAATTACACTAAACTATATGGGGAAGCGTTCTACACTACGGCCAGTCGACCGGGAGGATATTAGGCGGAGCTTACTTACCTATATCCAAGGCGACTGGACCCTCCGGAGTCTGTCAGGTCGCATGTGGTTGTGTAGTGCAAGGGAAATAAGGTGATGTGATGTGTATCTGGGTGTGACTGATGTTGATTGACCCTACACCTTGGCCGTTGGCAGCAGCCCGGGCGTCGACACCGCTCCAAATTGAGGGAACCTTCCGCGGCGTTGTCCACAAGTCATTTTCCTCGTTCGTCACGATGACAGTCCATTAACTCTATCGTACGATTAACTAACTCACAGAAGCCACTAACTCTCGTTGGGTATAAGGTTAACGCACAAAACACACACGGAGTTTCCGGATCAAAGGTCACTACTGTTTCGCGTAGCAACAGTTATTTCTAGAATATCAAAGGCCGCACTAGCTAATATTGCCGAATGCACTTATGCAGATTCTGAGTCAGACACAATGAGTCCCTGGGAAGCTCTCCAGTAGGAATGCGCGCCATAAATCCTAGACCGTATATTTACTGTCCGCGCCTAATTATTCCGAGTTCCCGACAAAAATGACAGCGTGCTAACGTTAGCACCGCTTACAGACGACTGACTCTGCACTCGCGCGTTCTACGCACGACCGAAAGTCAAACCGGTATGAATGCACCGCGCCGAGCGTCCTCTTGCGTTAATTCTTGAAATTAGCGTTTAGCGCGAACAAACCCCCGTCCCGGACATAAGGATTTAGGTCCGCGAGCAAACCGGTCAGCGGGACAAGGTCGCGACGGCAAGTTACAAGACCGAATCTACAACCAAACTAGGCCACCTTAGATGCCCCATCAAGTCTTGCAACCCTAACCAACGCCTCAAAATTACAGCCCCAACGTGGGCAAGCCGGAGGGTTGAACTGGATGCCCTTCCTGGACATCGCAGCCCATAAATAAGTCCTATTCCTAGGAATTCCTGTCTAGACAGAAGTCCGACGACCTCCTTCAAACACCTACCTGTGTTCCTATGATTAGTTCCGCAATCCGACCGGATCAGGTCTGCAAACAGCGACGCGACACGAAGCGGCCCAGAGTGGCCTCCTAAGCTTCAGTGCAGAGAGCACCCACAATTCCACATGAACGTCGTCTGTGGAGAGCCGAACGAAACGCACAGATAGTCCCTAGTATGAATTTTCAACAAGTAGATCTAACCAAGCCATCCACCATATTATCATTTACTAAAATAGTGCGGCAGCTGATTTCAATCTGATAATCTCCAAAACTAGCTAGCCTGTTAGACAAGCAGTCCTATGCTCATATTTCAACTAATTTTTAAAATCATCAATGTTCAACTACAGAATCAATTCAACCAAATTAATCACCGATGCACATAGGTCAACTTGACAAATTAAACAAAACAATAACGTAAGAGACAGCCCTATTTCTCATTTACGTAACTTAGACAGTGCCAACAAAATGTAAACCAAAGGAGAATTGACTTTTATTTACCTCGGCACAAATAGGGTTATCTAATTTCAGCCTTCCTCTTCACAAAGCAAAATGATTAAACACTATCACAAAACATATACACAATTTTCCAAATAGCGCGACATTCAATTTCAAATGAATTCAAATTTTCCTTTCAGCAAACAGACGCAACAATCAAATACAGTGATTAAATATATTTACAAAACACATGCAGTAGCATTTAAAGGAGTAGATTAAATTCGATTCTTTTAATCACAACCGCTACAAATATGGAAATTTCGCGGAAAGCTCAAAAGCATTTTTAATTTTAATTTAAAGAATTTTTAACTAAGTGCTCGACCAAACCAAATCTAATACCCCTTGACAGCGTGATTCAACGCTCCAGGGGGGCCCTAATCTTCCCACCACCAAGTGGAGGCCACACGGCGTGAACCCGAGACCAATAGAGCGCGACCGCTAACAGTCGCCACTCGGGTTGTACGCCTTCACTGAGGCCGTCGGCAACAGAACATTTTGACAAGTGGACTGTTGACGGCTTAAGGCTCAGTGGAGGCGGCCGTGGTGGGAGCTAAGGCGGCAGCTAGCCAGGGCCGCCTCCACCAAATGGGGAACAGTGGTACACCAGTCGCGGCCACTCAGCTAACGGGAGTGAGAAGGGTCCAGCGGACCGATGAGTGGCCATGAAGTTCCTCTCCACACGCTGAGGATTAGTGATGACACCCCCGCCCCTGGGGGAATTACCCCCCAACTGGTCGGGGGAGGGACCCCTTTTAAACTTAGGGGCCTGGTGGCTGGCCGGCGGGCGCCGAGAGTCGCCCGGCAGAGGGCGTGGCTGAGCGCCCCCGCCCGTGGGGATCGAGGGCCTGGCAGAGCCCCGAGAGAAGACGCCGTTCGCACCCAGGCACAAAACTGCATGATGATTGCCCTGGCAATGCAGACAGGGCCGCCGATGCGGACAGTCTCGCTGGGAGTGCCCTTCCAAACATGAGCAGCACCAGCGGCGCTCCTTGGCGATAGTTCGCCTCGCCGGAACCGGCTTACCTAATAATTTCGGGCACGACGTTACCCGGTGATCAGATGCTCGACAATAGGAGCAGGGGGGGTTGACGACGACTTGCCTGGCGGATTCAGCCTCTCACTGGGCACGGCTCGTAAGTCGTCAACGGCGCCCGTCGCGTTCTCGATCTGCCGGCACTGCTCCTCCAAAAACCGCAGCAGGTCATAGAAGGGCGGAATATAGGAGGCCTCATCCCCGCCGTAACTCTCCTCAAAATGGATTCTAAGGTCGAGAGGTAGACGGGACAGCACGATGCGGAGCAACAAAAGAGCCCATTCGCCCACTGGTAATTCCAGCCGCCTCAACGTATTACAGGCCACCAAGACTGGATCCAACAGGTCCGGACGGAGTCTGGCCCGGTCACTAAGCAGCGGGAGGCTTAGAAGCTGCTTAACCTGTTCGTCCGCAATTCGCCGGACGTTGGCGTATCTTCTGGCTAGGAGGTCCCGATCAGTCTGGTAGGCGTCGTCCGACAATCTCAAGTGGCCGACGACGCCCAGGGCCTCCCCCTCCAGTGAGGCCAGGAGGTACGCCATCTTTTGGCTCGGGGTCAGGTCACTCCGGGCGTCCACTAGACTGTCGAAAAGACCAACGAAGGTCAGCCATTCGGAAAGGACCCCGGAGAACTTTGGCAGGTCCAGAGTTGGGAGTCGTCCCAACAGCTCCGGCTAAAGCTGCTTCCGAGAGGACTCGGGCAGGCCACTCATCCGAGCTTAACGCGCCTCCTCGACATACCTGCCTTCAGCCTCGATCAAAAGCGAAAAGAACTGCTCATAGTCCGCGAAGCAGGAGTCCAGGACTCCCTTCTCCACATCCGAATCCTCAAGCTCAGCGTAAGCCTCCTCCACTGCGGCCCTTCGGGCATCCACCTGCTCGAACCGCTTCATCAAGATATGGACCCTATCCGGTCGACCTATCAAAGCATGGGCGCTTGTGGCCCAGCGCAACTCAGTCCGCAGGCAACGGATTAGTAGCTTGGGCGATGACATCACTACTAAATACAAATTACGACGCGGCTCGAGCACAAATTACAAAGATAACAAATAAAAAATACAACAAAAAATTAACAGTTAATAAATGCAGTTCCTATCAAATCTCGTTGAATAGAAATTACACAAATACGAATTACTACGTATCAACCAAATACAAGTTACAAAGACACAAATCAAATTAACAAATAACAAATACTAGTGCGATCAAATCAAGTTAAATTCAAATGGCGCAAATACAAATTACTACTCTTTAATTCAAATACAAATTACAGTACAAACGAAGATACACATCACGGTCGATCAACAAAAAATGCCTAGCTCGGAAATCGACCCTTCGATAAGTAATCCACTACAACTATCCGACAACGATAATTAACCGATTACGTAAAAATAACCATCTACCTACATGACGTATATCTCTAGAAAAACTCCCGCTTGCGCAACCTAGGGCGCGGCTTTTCAAACTACCCACTAACCAAAAAAAAAAAGGCAAGCAACAAAGCAACAAAGGAAAATAATTTATTATTACGTACAAAAAATATTTTTACGTATTACGGACGGGCGCGATTGTAGACACAAAATCAACCCAATCAAACGAAAGCTCCCTGGCACCAGAATTGCTTAATTTTTATCAAACACTATGTTCGGGATCGACCGGGGAATCGAACCCGGAACTACGCTCTGCTACCAGTTTGTTACGGCCTACGGCTGCTCCCTTAAAGGGTAAAATCCTCTGGGGCCCATGAGCAGAAGACTTCCCGAGCAGACGTAGGTCGGGCCTCAATGTGGCCACGTGGAATTTCTCTAATTACACTAAACTATATGGGGGAGCGTTCTATACTACGGCCAGTCGACCATGAGGATATTAGACGGAGCTTACTTACCTATATCCAAGGCGACTGGTCCCTCCGGAGTCGGTCCGGTCGCATGTGGTTGTGTAGTGCAAGGGAAATAAGGTGATGTGATGTGTATCTGGGTGTGACTGATGGTGATTGACCCTAGACCTTGGCCGTCGGCAGCAGCCCGGGCGTCGACACCGCTCCAAATTGAGGGAACCTGCCGCGGCGTTGTCCACAAGTCACTTTCCTCGTTCGTCACGATGACAGTCCATTAACTCTATCGTACGATTAACTAATTCCATCGTCTGTGGTACCCATCGGAGGCAGATCTCAGCCTTGGTTTGGTCGCTCCTGTAAGACTGCATTACGCAGTAAGCAGGAGTGTTATCAAGCCTGGGCTGCGGCTTCGGTGACTCGGGATGTAAACACCAGCACACTCAAAAAGAAGTATAACTTCGCCTCTCCAGGTCCTTCAAAAGAGTTATTGCCAAGGCAAAGTCAGAGCACATAGGCAGAATTGGCAAGAAACTAGTTCGCCTTCCTTCGGGAACCCGTGCATTCTGGTCTCTCGCCAAGGCTGTCCAAGGGAATTTCTGTAAGCCATCACTACCATCTCTGCACAGGGAGGACGACTCACTGGCCCAAGACGCAAAAGACAAAGCCGACCTTTTAGGCTCCCTTTTTGCGTCCAACTCGACTCTTGATGACGAGGGGAAAACACCGCCGACCATCCCGCGGTGTGAGTGCTCCATGCCGGATGTGATGTTCTCACAGCGCTCGGTTCGCAAAGCACTCCTCTCCCTGGACATCCAGAAGTCGAATGGGCCTGAAGGAATCCCCGCAATTGTGCTGAGGACGTGTGCTCCGGAGTTGACACCGGTCCTAACGCGTCTTTTCCGGTACTCCTACTCCCAAGACGTAGTCCCGAATTCATGGAAGACAGCTTTTGTCCACCCGATCCCTAAAAAAGGCGACCGCTCAGACGCGTCCAACTATAGGCCTATCGCGATCACCTCCTGGTTCTCCAAAATAATGGAATCAATTATTAACTGCCAGCTCATGCGGTACCTTGAGGATCACCAGCTGATTAGTGACCGCCAGTACGGTTTTCGTCGTGGTCGATCAGCTGGTGATCTACTGGTCTACCTGACACATAGATGGGCAGAGGCAGTATAGTCCAAGGGGGAGGCGTTGGCCGTTAGTTTGGACATTGCGAAGGCCTTCGATCGGGTTTGGCACAAAGCGCTTCTTTCGAAGCTCCCTTCCTATGGGCTTCCCGAGAAATTGTGCGATTGGATCACCAGCTTCCTTGCAGATCGGAGCATCAAGGTCGTTGTAGACGGCGCATGCTCCGACTACAAGCCTATTAACGCTGGTGTTCCACAAGGCTGTCTACTATCACCGACGCTGTTTCTTCTGTATATCAATGATATGTTGCTAACTGGTAACATTCATTGCTATGCGGATGACAGCACTGGTGATGCTCTATACACCGGCCGTGCCAATATTTCTCGGAAAAACGTCGCCGAGTACCGGAACAAACTTGTGTCTGAAGTCGAGTCTTTGCTGAACAAAGTCTCAGATTGGGGGCGACTAAATCTAGTCCAGTTTAATCCTCAGAAGACACAAGTTTGCGCGTTTACCGCTAAAAAGAACCCCTTTGTCGTATCTCCTCAGTTTCAAGGCACTCCCCTTGCTGCCTTAGCCAGTATCAGAATCCTCGGAGTCGACATATAGAGTGACGTGCAGTTTCGTGGTCACTTGGAAGAGAAGGCCAAATTGGCCTCTAAAAAGCTTGGCGTGCTCAGCAGAGCGGGACAGTATTTCATGCCGGCACTCCGCCTGCAACTTTACAAGGCGCAGGTTCGGCCTCACATGGAATACTGTTCCCATCTCTGGGCAGGGGCTCCCCAGTGCCAGCTCCTTCCACTTGACCGCATCCAGCGCAGAGCGGCTCGAATCGTCGACGACCGAGTCCTTTCCGATCGGCTCGATTCATTGGCACTGCGAAGAGATGTTACATCCCTTTGCATTTTCTTTCGCATCTACTACGGGGAGTGCTCTGAGGAATTATTCGGATTAATCCCAGCCGCCAAATTTCACGAACGCACATCGCGGCAGAACTCCCGATACCATCCACACCATCTGGATGATTGGCGGTCCACCACTGTGCGATTTAGAAGATGTTTTCTTTCTCGCACGACTTCCTTGTGGAATCGATTACCATCAGCGATTTTTCCGGACCGATACGACTTAGGGACCTTCAAGAAAAGAGCGTACTCCTTTTTAAAAGGCCAGCAACGCATCTGCGATTCCCTCCCTGGTGTTGCAGCTGTTCATGGGCGGCGGTAGTCACTTACCATCAGGTGAGCCGCATGCTCGTTTGCCCCCTCTCTTATAAAAAAAAACTAACTTACAGAAGCCACTAACTCTCGTTGGGTATAAGGTGAACGCACAAAACACACACGGAGTTTCCGGATCAAAGGTCACTACCGTTTCGCGTAGCAACAGTTATTTCTAGAATATCAAAGGCCGTACTAGCTAATATTGCCGAATGCACTTATGCAGATTCTGAGTCAGACACAATGAGTCCCTGGGAAGCTCTCCAGTAGGAATGCGCGCCACAAATCCTAGACCGTATATTTACTGTCCGCGCCTAATTATTCCGAGTTCCCGACAAAAATGACAGCGTGCTAACGTTAGCAACGCTTACAAACGACTAACTCTGCATTCGCGCGTTCTACGCACGACCGAAAGTCAAACCGGTATGAATGCACCGCGCCGAGCGCCCTCTCGCGTTAATTCTTGAAATTAGCGTTTGGCGCGAACACTAACCTTATATTAAACCTAAACCTTCATATTATTAAGCTTGTGCTTTTGATAAATGACAAATACTTATGCAAAACATGAATTGCGTACGATGATTTGACACAAACTGAACACAAAAATATAATAAAAAACGGAATTGTAAGTTAACTATTAGTGCAGCAGAATGCGGCGCTGGTCCATACAGGCATTTCTGCCGCAGATCGGCGATCATAGTATTGCATCGCACCTTTGATTCTGCTCCCCGTCTCGTTACGTCCTAACCTCCTTTCACATAACCAATTAACATGATATAACATAATTATTAAACATAACACTTCCAAAGTTACAAAAACTGTATCCAGGTTTGTATTGTATTGTTTTTGTTCCCACAAATAATAGGGCTTTATTTTCAAATTATTTGTATCGAGTGCAATTTACTCGACAAGGCGGAGTGGAAGAGTATATAATAAAATCCCTCGCATACCCACCCCACATGGTGGTGAGCCCAGCTAAATGATAATATTAATTGTTTCAGCGATGAAGTTATAATTGAAATAGAGGTTGAACCTGAAGGCGTCCCGATGGAAGAGCACAGATCCACAATGTTGTGCGCTAGAGGTAACCCTTAAAGTACTGAAATTAACCATTGTTATGGCGTGACGTGCAATCGATGAATGGATGGCTTTTTTCCTTACTTTGTGACAATCTATTTGTTAGGATGACCTTCGATATAACAAAGGACACTCACCTTCAACCGTCCTTGCCGAGCCGCCTCCATTGCTTTCACGATTAATGAAATCAGCAATGCCCAATGTCTATCCGTGCACTATAAGCTCACTGGGACCGTCGCAATTAACTTTCAAAGATACCGGCTGTAGTCAGAAGTCGACGTCAAGCCGGAATCGGGTGATAGATCAAGTCATAATAGTTTTTAGTAAAATATAAAAAACTTTTTTATTTAAGTATAAATAAATACTACACACAATAAGATACTTTAACAGTGGTAGAGCCACGTGGCGGCTTTTGCTGTCGCACGGATGGGCCGGCTGGAACCGGGGTGGTACCACGACCTCACAGAATACCAGCGTGAAGTAGAGGTTTACCTCTGCGTTTCGCTTTGTGAGTGCAGGTGGCCGGAGGCCCTTTTTACTGGAAAATGAGGCATTCCATCTTAGTCCTCACGGGTGACAACGCATCTGCATTTTGATTTGTAATAGAAGATAGATGTAGATATCTATGGGCCGCAGCAACCACTTACCATCAGGTGGACTGTGTGCTCGTTTGTCACACTTATCCTATAAAAAAAAAGAAACAGTCTTATAGTGAGTTTGCACAAAGGTTATACCTATTCCATAATTTGCTAAAGTATCTTCTAATAGACGCACAGAGGAAAATATATTAAAAAAGGCAAACTTTGACGTACAATACTAATAACACTGTAAATAATATTCAAAATGTTACGTAATTTTATATTAAACTAGCTGACTTGGCAAACTTCGTACCGCCTAACAGTCGATTCTTTAATTTTTTTTAATACTTATTCTGCTATTCAGGGGTCAGCTAGTTAGATAAAAAAAGAAAAATAAAGTTGATAAGTCAACAAATGTAAAAAATAAAAATAAAGTTGATAAGTCAACAAATGTCAAAAAATAAAAATTATAATTGTTTTGCCTTCCCGGAACCTCCTTTCCCCTAACACTTATTACGAATCTTTTGTATGGGGTAATATAGAAAAGTGTTGTTTTTATACTTATTCAGGCAATTTTTTTAATTTTTCTCTCCGTAAGAACCATCTTCGTACTTCAAGTACGAAGATGGTTATCTATAATATAAAAATTAATCACTTTCAGCGATTATTTTTTATATTATAGATGACACTATAAATAATAATACCATAGATAAAAATAATACATACAATTGCTACACATATATATATATATATATATATATATATATATATATATATATCTAACACGTTTTTTAAATACCAATAACATTTCATGTTATAGAGGAGACATAACAATCGAGTGTTCCTACGAAGTCGAATTGGGAGTCACTTGAGTTGCTTGCGAAACTGAGATATTCAGTCATATTTCTTGAGCCCAAATCGAGATCGAGTTTGTTAAGGAGCCCTTCTGTAGGCATCCAAATAACAGGCGTCAGCATAATCAAGCAGTGGTAGGATAACAGTGAGCACGAGTGATATATTAGCTTTTAGGGGTAAGACATTTTGAAGACAATTAAATGAATGCATAGTAAAGTCGACCTCACGACCAACCTAGCCTTTACGTAGAGCCATGCTGCAGCTATATTAGTATTATAGCTGTAGCAGGAATGGGTCGGCTCGACCTGGGAAAGACCACGCTCTCACAGAAAACCAGCGTAAAATAGCAGCTTAACGCTGCTGTGTTTCGTATGGTGAGTGTAGAGAACCGGGGACCCTTTTTACTGGCAAAGAGGCATTCCATCTTAGTCCTCACGGGTGACAACGCATCTGCATCTTGAGTCTTTATTGAGGATAGATGTAGATGTCTATGGGTCACAGTAACCACTTACCATCAGGTGGACTGTGTGTTCGTTAGTCATCCTATCCTATAAAAAAAAACCTCAACGATGTGCGTGAACCATGATAAATATGAACAAATATGACGCCTAAGTTTTTGACCGTACCGCACCGCAAACGTGAGGTAGTGATGTAAATTCTAATTTATTACGCAAATGCCTGCTGCCTATTATGATGGCCTGCGATTTCGTAGGATTAAGTAATACTCCAAAGGATACAGACTATTTCTAGATGCGGCTCAGATTCGCATTCATGGCTCCAAAAGCATTATTTGGATCACACACCGGAAAATGACGATACAGCTATAAGTCATCCGCGTAAAGATGGAAATTATATGTAATAACTCTCGTAATAGAATTAATAAATATAGAAAATAAAAGAGGAGAAAGAACGCTACCTTGAAGTATGCCCGTAGTGATACCAGACTAATCGGAAAGATTGTCATTAAGACGGACATTGCGAGCGACCTCGAAGATACGAATCAAACCACGCCATGGCAGATAGGGAAATGTTTATAGATTGCAGTATCCGTAGAAGAATATCGAAGTCTACTGAGGTAAAAGCACTGCTAAAGTCAAGCAAAACTAGAAGTGTAAGAGATTTGTTGTCCATAGCGTAACGGATATCGTCGGTTACTTTAAGTAAAACAGTGACAGTGTTGTGACCAGGACGAATGCCTAACTGATGTGTAAAAAGTAAAGAGTTAGACAATAAGAGAAGAGAAGAGAAGCGAAGAAAAGATAGAGTTGCCTGTGGATAATGTGTTCCAGAACTTTAGAATGAAAGGATAAAATAGATATGGGACAAAAGTGAGATAGAGAAGAAGGATTATAAACCTTAGGTAAAGGTGTATATATATATATATATGCTTGCTTCCAAACTAAAGGAAAAGATGAGGATGATATGAAGAAATTAAACATATGAGTAATAATTGGAAGAAGTAGAGGTAGAACTGGCGTAATCAGCCTCGAGCATAGACCGTCATTACCAACAGAAGTTGAAGAGATGGCTTGGATAGATTTTTGGCATCTTCCTCCGTCACAAGGGAAAGTTGAAAAGGGAAAACGTGTGGTTTCGTTAATGTGTTTGATTTGATGTAGGGATGTAAAGTCGTAGGATGACAACAACAAAATGTTAATTTAGATCCTTTACTTTAACGTCTCTGTATTCTAAGATTGAAGACCCGCCAACAACAACAGAACGTAGGAATTTCCACATCTCACTAGAATTTCTATTACGGTGAAAGACATAAAAGTAGCGTCTTTTAGCATCCCTGGAGTAGGCACACGCAGCGCCCGGAGTAGGCACAGGCACACGCAGCGCCTGGAGTAGGCAAACGCAGCGCCTGGAGTAGACACACGTAGCGCCTGGAGTAGGCACACGCAGCGCCTGGAGTAGGCACTAGCAGCGCCTGGAGTAGGCACTAGCAGCGCCTGGAGTAGGCACACGCAGCGCCCGGAGCAGGCACACGTAGCGCTTGGAGTAGGCACACGCAGCGCCTGGAGTAGGCACACGCAGCGCCCGGAGTAGGCACAGGCACACGCAGCGCCCGGAGTAGGTACACGCAGCGCCTGGAGTAGGCACACGCAGCGCCTGGAGTAGACACACGTAGCGCCTGGAGTAGGCACACGCAGCGCCTGGAGTAGGCACACGCAGCGCCTGGAGTAGGCACACGCAGCGCCTGGAGTAGGCACACGCAGCGCCCGGAGTAGGCACAGGCACACGCAGCGCCTGGAGTAGGCACACGCAGCGCCTGGAGTAGACACACGTAGCGCCTGGAGTAGGCACACGCAGCGCCTGGAGTAGGCACACGCAGCGCCTGGAGTAGGCACACGCAGCGCCCGGAGTAGGCACAGGCACACGCAGCGCCTGGAGTAGACACACGTTTCGCCTGGAGTAGGCACACGCAGCGCCTGGAGTAGGCACACGCAGCGCCTGGAGTAGGCACACGCAGCGCCTGGAGTAGGCACACGCAGCGCCTGGAGTAGACACACGTAGCGCCTGGAGTAGGCACACGCAGCGCCTGGAGTAGACACACGCAGCGCCTGGAGTAGGCACACGCAGCGCCTGGAGTAGGCACACGCAGCGCCCGGAGTAGGCACACGCAGCGCCCGGAGTAGGCACAGGCACACGCAGCGCCCGGAGTAGGTACACGCAGCGCTTGGAGTAGGCACACGCAGCGCCTGGAGTAGGCACACGCAGCGCCTGGAGTAGACACACGTAGCGCCTGGAGTAGGCACACGCAGCGCCTGGAGTAGGCACACGCAGCGCCTGGAGTAGGCACACGCAGCGCCTGGAGTCGACACACGTAGCGCCTGGAGTAGGCACACGCAGCGCCTGGAGTAGGCACACGCAGCGCCTGGAGTAGGCACACGCAGCGCCTGGAGTAGACACACGTAGCGCCTGGAGTAGGCACACGCAGCGCCTGGAGTAGGCACACGCAGCGCCTGGAGTAGGCACACGCAGCGCCTGGAGTAGACGCACGTAGCGCCTGGAGTAGGCACACGCAGCGCCTGGAGTAGGCACACGCAGCGCCTGGAGTAGGCACACGCAGCGCCTGGAGTAGGCACACGCAGCGCCTGGAGTAGGCACTAGCAGCGCCTGGAGTAGGCACTAGCAGCGCCTGGAGTAGGCACACGCAGCGCCCGGAGTAGGCACACGTAGGGCTTGGAGTAGGCACACGCAGCGCCTGGAGTAGGCACACGCAGCGCCCGGAGTAGGCACAGGCACACGCAGCGCACGGAGTAGGTACACGCAGCGCCTGGAGTAGGCACACGCAGCGCCTGGAGTAGACACACGTAGCGCCTGGAGTAGGCACACGCAGCGCCTGGAGTAGGCACACGCAGCGCCTGGAGTAGGCACACGCAGCGCCTGGAGTAGGCACACGCAGCGCCCGGAGTAGGCACAGGCACACGCAGCGCCTGGAGTAGGCACACGCAGCGCCTGGAGTAGACACACGTAGCGCCTGGAGTAGGCACACGCAGCGCCTGGAGTAGGCACACGCAGCGCCTGGAGTAGGCACACGCAGCGCCCGGAGTAGGCACAGGCACACGCA